TTATTGATTTCAGAGAGGAAGGGGGAGAGAGAAGGAGAGAGAGAGAGAGAGAGAGGGAGGGAGAGAGAGAGAGAGAGAGAGATCAATGATGAGAATCATTGATCGGCTGCCTCCTGCACGCTCCCTACTGGGGTCAACCCCACAACATGGGCATGTACCCTGACCAGAGATCGAACCCATGACCCTTCAGTCCGCAGGCCGACACTCTATCCACTGACCCAAACCAGCGAGGGCAGTTTATACGCTTTTAGCATTTGCCTTTTTACTGCAAACATGGCTTGCTTTTGACATTTTTGAACAAGGAGGAAGATGAAAGCATGTGAGCGCCTTACTCAAGGCTGGTGAATCAGGCCCAAGAGCCCCCTGGCACCCATGCCGGAGAAAAGGGGGTTCCAGGAGGCCACTGTGGGGTACAGAAGATGGTTACATGGGTTCTGGAATGTTAGAGCTGTGTCTGATGGTCTTCTCAGAGGGAGAGCATGACTTTGGAGCCTGGGCTCTCTTACCTCAGACCCCAAGCAGGGCCAGGAGCCTGCCCTGGGACAGAAATTGTTTATGGTATTACCCAGATGGAAGATTCACACTTAGTGAATGTAGGGTCCAAAATGCAAAAGGTACTGCAAATACACTACTGTAAAGCCCCCTTCCCCCTTGCTTGCCTCCCAGAAGCAATTCGAGACCTCTAACCCATCTAAATAGATGCACATTAGCCCTAGCCAGTTTGGCTCAGTGGATAGAGTGTCGGCCTGTGGACTGAAGGGTCCCAGGTTCGATTCCGGTCAAGGGCACATGCTCAGGTTGTGGGCTCGATCCTCAGTGTGGGGTGTGCAGCAGGCAGCCAATCAATGATTCTCTCTCATCATTGATGTTTCTCTCTCTCTCCCTCTCCCTTCCTCTCTGAAATAAAATATATATTTTTTATAGAAAAAATAAAGAGTTGCACATTATACACACATTTTTTTTACTCTCTTAGAGACCAGTCGAAAGTGTCTACAAAGAGCCACCTCCAGTAGACACTTCACAGTACCAGACAGTGGGGTCCCCATCGTATGGGCGGCTCGATATAATGAGCCCCAACAACCAGGCATTAAGATTACGTCTGAACTTCTGCTTTTACAGGTCCACAGTCTCTTAGCCGAATTCTTTACAATTCAAACACATGTGTATATAATATTTAAAAAGGCAATTCAGTGTATATGCCATACATTATGAAAACCCCTCATAGAATCTAAGACAGCACTCCATAATCACATTATTATTTCCACTGCAAACATGTATGATAAGTGGAATTAATACAGCCCGGCAAGTTTGGCTCAATGTTTGAGTGTTCACCTATAACCAGGAGGACTCAGTTCGATTTCCGGTCAGGTACATGCCTGGGTTTTGGACTTGATCCCTGGTGGGGGGGGGGGGGGGGCGGTGCAGGAGGCAGCCGATCAAACATTCTCTCTCATCATTGATGTTTCTCTCTAACCCTCTCCTTTCCTCTCTGAAATCAACAACAAAAAATTTTTTAAAGGAAAAAATATTATAAATTTTTTTAAAAAGACTACAAATAGTCTTGTCAGAGACTTGTGCCAAAATAATGGAAAAACTTCCAGTTTTCAGAACTTTTTGGGCTTCAGAATTGAGGTGAGGCTTTGTGGAACTGTACAGAGAATGCTGCAATGAATACTTTTAGACACTCAATCTTGTGAGTTTAGGATACCTTTCTAGAAGGGCTGAGCCACAGGCGGCGTTCATTTGTGATTTTCATAGATTTTGCTAGAATAGTGACCACTGTTCTTCCTTGCCTGTGAGCTGTTGTACTTCATGGTTTTCCAAACACGCTCATTTTTATCTGTTAACTGCTGGGCACTGACAATTTTCCTCCCTTCCTCTCTGCACAAAGCTAGACTGAGAGTCTCTGGCCCTTGGTCAGACAGCCAAGCGAGCGGAGAGGGCGCAGCTTTGCCATCAGAGGCAGCAGGAAGTCCCTCCCACCAGTGCGACCCTGAGCGGGTTACCTGCATCCTCCAAGCTTCCGTTTCTGCTGGTAGAGACAATCCGCCTCCATGACAGTCCGTCCACGGCCACACTTGCCCACCAACTTGTGCTCTTCTCTCCTGCCACCCCCAGCCCAGGGCCTGGTCTCTGCCCTCTCCCCCGAAGGAAGAAGAGTCCAGGCCAACAGAAAGAAAGGTCCACAGGCTTTTTAATGGTGTGATGGCTACTTCCCTTCTGAGACCCGATCTAATCATGACAGCGGCTTCCAGGATGTTGGGGTCGGGGTGGACAGGTGCAGGTGGGCAGAGGCCATGCAGTGACTGGGGGCGGGTGTTACATTCTGTTTGGCATGTAAACATTCTTCTGTGGCTTCCCTGGAGAAGGGGAGGGCAACTCCCTGTCCCCAACCCCAGCCCACCGGGGCTGGTCCCCAGAGAAGACTGAGCAAGCCAGGCCCCTGTGAGGAGCTAGGAAGGGGAGCGCCCATGTGTCTGGGGTACAGCCTTCTCCTGCACCCTCTTGGTGCACAGTGAGGCTGGGAGGGAAGGCATGTCTGGGGTGGGCTGCCCCGCATCTGAGCCAGTGACAGGGGCTGTGATGAGGAGGAAGTGCTGGAGTGCGGTGGTGGTGGTGGTGGTGGTGGTGGTGGTGTGACACTCTGACAGAGAAGGGGCTCAGGACCTGCAGAGCTTGGTGGAGGGGATGGGTGCTCAAGGGAGAAGAGGCTGCAGCTGGGGGTGGGACACTGGGAGACATGGTTTCCTCTGCCCTGGATCCTTCCTGGGGAGAGAAGCAGAATCCTCTAGCCTCCTCCCACACGCGCCCCTGCTCCTCCTCCCCAACTCTGGTGACATTCAATGACGCAGCGGCCTGAGGTCAGTTAGGAGCCCTGGGGAGGTCTGGTTTCCCAAGGACAGACAGGGTTTTGCAGCTCTGCCCACCTTCGGTGCTGGGTGAAGCAGGACGGTAGGATGGGCCTGGGCTCTCTCAGGTCACCCCCTTTTCCTCCCAACACCAAACCAGGCTGTTGTTGGTCCTGGGGCAGGGGTGAGGCTGGGGCCCTACATTCACAGTTCGGTTGGTAGCAAGGAGCAGGCCCAGGACCTGGGTACCAGGGGTCACGCCCTGGTCCCCACCTGGCAGGAGCTGATTGTCATTCAGAGAAGCTCTAGGTGGGAGGGCATGGCCCCTCCTCCACCCCCTCTGCTGGACCCAGAGGGCAGTAGAGGTCTTGGGAGGGTCTCGGGTTGACAAAGAGGGCTCTGTCCAGAGAGGTTTCCTGAGTGTTCTGGGAGCTTCTGAGTCAGCGTGGGGTGGACCTCAGGGGCTGTCCACCCTGGAGTCCTCCCCTAGGCTGGTCTGCAGAGATGCCACCACCTCGGCATAAAAGCAGCTGCCCAAGCCTGCTGACTCTCCATGAAGGGCTTCAGCGGGCATCACCAGGCTGCTCCCTGGGTCAACTTCCTCGTGGGCATCCTTCCAAGCGATGGTGGCTGGGTGCTGCCAGATCACTGGCGCATAGCAGGGGCCTTTCTTCCTCTTTCCCTGGTTGTCTTGCCTTGTTCTCCATGACCCGGGGTAGAACAGAAGGGGCAGGTCAGGGGACAGAGGCTGTGGGTGCTGAGCATGGAGGAGGCCTGCCAGGACCTGTCCCAGATAAACAGGGTTGGCTGTCCCTTCTGCAGCCAGGGTACTGGTTGGCCCAGATGTGGGCAGTTGAGGCTTGTGATGAGCCGGGGTGAGAACTATGCAGGAGCCAGACCTAGGAGGAGGCCCCATATCATTCATGGAGCAGAGCAGTCCTCCCATCTCTGCAGGGACAGCTCGGCTGCATGGTGTGGGCTTATGACAAGAGGGATGAGCTAAGGGTGAGCTAGGGGAGGAGAGGACTTGGGCTGGACCCATCACACAAGCATACAATCTGGAAGTTAGAAGGGCCTTTCTGCCTTGAGTCCAGGGCCAGCTGTCATCTGTCTGTATGTCTGTCTGTTTCTGCTCTCTCTGCCCACAGGGGGACATGATGGTCACAGCCAGGAGAACAGGGAGGGTGGCCTGGCCAGAACTGTGTCCCTGAATCTCCAAAGGGCCAGCAAGAGATGATGACCAGCCACTCTCCACGTGAACCCCGGAGAGAAGGGAGTTGGCTGAAACTGCAGGAGGCCGAGATTGAGTTCGGATGGCAACCAAGGAAATTCCGGATGCGGAGGGGTCCTGAGCCCCTAGATGGGGGGCCAAAGACCAGCGAAACTTCTTTAAAGCCCTCCCTCCCACTTCCCACTGGGAAAATACGGGGCCCAGGGCAAGGCAGCCCACACCCTGTGGCTCCCCCCTGAAGCCCCCACCCCAGATACAGGGGGTGGGGGGACTTGCACTTTAGAGCAACCCCCACACCTGCTCACTGCCTTCCCACAGGGTTGTCCAGGATGGAGCTCTGGGGCAGGTCATACCTGCCCCCTCACACCTGAGTAGACCAATGGCCCTAGGTCCCACCTCCCCAGCCCCAAGTCTGGCAGCTGAGAAGAGGTCCTTCCCAGGAGACGGTGGGGTTGGCCTCTAGGGAAGGCTGGAGCCTCCACTTGGGGAAATTGAGGCTGCCTTTCTGAAAGGGGGGCTTTGGCTGGAAGAGGGTTGGGAGGAGGGAAAGGCTCTGTAGGAGGTGTGAGCAGAGGTGTGTTGGGGGTGGAGCATGGAGAGCAGCAGACGCCTGGCGGGAGAGCGGGCTGTCCGGACTAGTGGGGTCCTCCGAGTCGAGTGGCTGAGCCTTCCCGGCGGAGGGGCGGCAGGAGGTGGGAGGTGCCTGGGGAAGGGAGGGAGGCGAGCTCTACCCCTGCGGCGAGGCGCCCCCCACCGGTGGAGCCTGGCTGGGGCGAGCACGGCGGGTGCAGGCAGGAAGCTGGGGCCGCGGGTGGCGCGTCGGGCGCGTAAAGGCTGTGCTGGGAAGCTGTTCCAGTGTGGCCGGCTGCGGGTTGGGGGCTGGAGTGAAGGGTGGGGGCCCACGCAGAGCCCGCGCGTCATTATCTGGCCCCGGCCCGGCCCTCCGCGACACCTGCCCGGCCTTTGGTTGCTGCGCGCTGAGTCTGGAGTTTCCCTCTGGGTCCTTTCTTGGGCCCCCCTAGGGAGGGGGTGCCATCGGGCTCGGCCCGGGCCTGTGAAGCGCCTCGGGGTGGGGGCCCTCCAGGCCGGGCCTGGTGCGAGGGTGAGGGGCTCTCTTTGCGGGACAGGGACTGGCTGCGGGGGGACGCGCTGGAATTGCGCGCGGTGGAGGCAGGGAGGCCCGGACTGCGCGGGGCTGGGGGCCTGGTGCTGGCTTGGCCTCGCCCTGGGCCCTGGCCCCGGCCAAGGGGCTGTTTGGGACGGAAGTCGGCAGCAATGGCCGACCCTGGAGGCTTCTGCAGCTGGAGCCTGCGGGAGGAGGAGGGGGAAAAGAAGAGGAGGGGGGAAAGCAGAGACATTTTCAGAATCGCAATGAGCCCTAGAGTCTTGTATCCACAGACCTGGTGGAGACCTGGCACAGAAATAAACTGGGCCTATTGCCCAGGGAGGACTTCTAGGGGCCGCACACTCCCCAGCTGCTGCCGGAAGCGCTCCCTGCAGGCTTTCTCCGGCATCTTTATATATCCTTGTTTATATTCATATGAATGAAGTTTTCTCCTGACTATTCTGGGCTTTCTCCTTTGGCTTCAGATGCCCCATGACACACCAGAGGCCCCCATCAGCCTTTCCCAAACCTGGTCTCCCTGGCACCCCTCCAGGCCTGCTCACTGTCTCCACCGCCTTGAGCCCAGGGACAGGACTGGGACGGAGTCAGAAGAGAGACTCAGTTGGTGGTGGACAGGAGGTACATTCGAGGGGCCTTCCTGAGTCTTCGATAGCCCCTGACCTTAGCCCTGGGGAAGTCCCTGCTGGTGGAGGCCTTCTGTGGTCGCCCTCTGCCCACCCTGGGGCTGGCAGTGGTTTCTCACCTGCTGGTGATGGCTGTGTCCGATGCTGGGGCCGCACCATGGGGTCTGCCAGGGGACTGCTGGGCTGGGGCAGGCGTGGGCATGCGGATGCTGATGGGGCGGGGAATCCGGCTCCGGGTGGCAGCCGCCCGCCCGGCCTTCCTGGGCACCGAGGGCTCAGAGGCGGGCATGTCCTCCTCGGAGCCTGTGCCCGAGAACGTCTCAGAGGCGCGGCGCTGCTCCTCGCTGGAGGAGGAGGAGGCCCCAGAGGCCAGCCGCAGCAGCAGGCGGCCCTGCCTCTTCTCCATCACCAGCCGGGCCAGGTCCTGCTGGGGTCTCCCCCGCTTGCTCCACCGCTCTTTGGCCGACAGTGAACCCGAGGGCTCCGAACCAGTGTCCTCCTCCGACAGCAGCACAGGGATGCGGCTCCTGCAGCGAGGGCCTGGCATGGCACGGTGGCTGGGGGAGATGGTGGCCAGTTTCTCGGGGTCTGGTTCCAGCGGGGATGCTGGGGCTGGCCCATCGACAAGGGGTGATCCACTGGGCAGTGAGTCCATGGCCACCTCCATGGGGGTGTCCCCAGGAGGGCCAGGCAGGGCACAGCTCTCCAGCCCTGACTGGGCAATACCGTTCTCCAGGGGCACAGAGGTCCCCTCCTCTGCAGCCCTCCCCTCAGAGGGCACCTCCTGGCCCAGCTCGCCCCCAGAGCTGAGCTCCTCCGGCCGTGAGGCTTGCCCACCGGAAGACATGACGTTGAGGTGGGTTTTCTCTGCAATGTGTACGAAGGTCCTCTCAACTTTGGTGAAGGGTGAGGAGGTGACTGCCACTCCCCCGGCCCCTGCGGTGACCGCCCCGGTCCCCAGCCCCGTCCCAGGCCCGGGGGGCTTGGGCTCAGACTTGAGGATGGAGGACAGGGTGCCTGGCTCAGACACGTCCAGCTGGCTGCCGGTGGGCTGGGGCCGCTCGTTCTGAGGAGTGAGGGCAGCCAGGGTGCCCAGGTCAGGGTCAGGGGCCAGGTCGGCAGTGACAGGCGACTTCTTCATGTCACCAGGGGAGACGAGCACCAGCGTTTTGGAGCCCTCCTCAGGCTCCAGGTCCCCGTCAGCCATGGAGGCCCGGCCCCTGGACTCCTTCTGGTCATCAGCCAGCAGCGTGGACGGGGCGCCCTCCTGGCTCCGGTCGGTGCTCCTCTCGCTCCCCTCACTGCTGGAGCCACTGCGAGGCC